GATGATACTCGCGAGGTAAGTGCTGTTAGAGTGGATTTTGTGATCTCGAAAGTAACACTCTTCAGCGCTCAAGCTGCCTTGGTCGCTGTTGGCCAAATGGTCGACGAGGAATCCATGAAGAAGAACCGCAACGCCACACCACAGTTCATCGGCGCACTCACAGAAATGGTCTGGGAACAAATAGGCAAGTCCCTTGCCGCTAGGTATGATGCCTGGGATACCCTGCTGACGCTGTTGTGCAGAGGCCACGGCCACTGATCTTGAGGGTTTCAGCAGGCACGCCGGCCGGACTACCGTCACCGCAGACGACGTCGTGCTGCTTGCGCGCAAGAACCCCGATTTGCACGAACTTATTCGGGACTATGTCGACGAGTTGAAGGCGAAGAAGGCCAGCAAAGGCAAAGGCAAGGGCAGGCAGTAGACCTGCTTGGTAATCTGATGTATTTCTTCGTTGAGGCACAAGCGTCACGTCATGTCGAATTCAAGTTTCATTTTGTTGGGTATCCATGATCTAAACAAGCCAATTGTCGGCCTGGCCCTCTTGAAAATTGAGGCCACCGCCTGCAAGCCCATAACGCCATGCCTATGCTGAATGAATAGTACTTCTCGAGCTTGGCAATCAAGGCTCTGTGCTCTCTACGGCCTCCCGTTCCCTCTGCACCTCGGCTCTGCGCATTTCCTCGAGTTCCTTCCACTCTTCCTCCGTCATGTGGAAGAGTTGAGAGAGACTGGAGATCATTGCCCACAACTCACCGGCAATGATCAGGTGCACAAACTCAAGGCCAACGAAGTTGGTCACACTCCGCCATGTCAATCCACTAAAGATGTTCCACTCGTGTATGTCGAAAACCGGCAGCCCCATCCGTTCACGATAAGCCCGAGCGACGAGACGCAATGCCATGGCTTCATAAGGCGCGACTATGACGTATGCGGAGATCACGGTGAAAATATCTGAAGCCAGACAGGCCGGCAACCGGGTGAGCATAGTGTCCACGTACGTCGGATGCAACGCGGCTAAGCCATAAGGTGAGCCCTCAGGCCCAGCGCTAGGGCGAAGCTCGGCAGACCAGAGACCAGGTGGTGCGTCCGTCGAGTCTGTCGCCTCAACGTCGAAACTGATCAGCGTGGCACTGATGCCGCCTTCTTCCTCATCGTCGCTCCCAAAATCGTCTCCGCGGGTAGAGAACGCACTTGGTCTCCGCAAAGGCTGGGATGGAGGAGGATCAGGAGGTGTGGTGCTCTCGCTCGCCACTTGTGCGTCAATATCGCGTAGGAGCTCGGCTCGATTCTGCGGCGGTAGGTCAACCGGTTGCCGGGGCGGAGGCGGCTGTGCGTCAACTACAGGGGGCGATGGCGGAGCCGCCTGCGGTGGTGGAGGAGGCGGTAGGTGTCGTCTGTGATGTACAGTGTTGGGCAGTCGAGCGTAAAATTCCTGCCACATGTATGTTGTCACTCTTGTCCAAAGACGACCCCAGAGAACGAACGATGCGAATGGTAGGGCGTTGATACACCAGGCTCCAAGATACTGCACTAGCGACGCGGCCGTGAGGTCCTTCGGAGGCTCTGGAGCAGGGATAGGTGAAGAAGGGAACCCGGGAATAAAGTAGGTCCATGATGGGAACCACTTGCTAGCTGGAATGATGTCTGCTCGTTGCATGAATACATAGAGCTGCAAGTGCACTCGGATGTAGGACAATATAGGGTTGAGCCAGCGTTTTCGAGTCCGTGCTGGAGCCCATTGATGGCTCCCAAGCTTAAGGGCGTGACCGGCGAGGAACGTAGGTAGGCCGGCGAGGAAGAGGTTTGACATGGAACGTTGGCTTCTTTCATAACGGAAGAGGTCAAAGAAAGATATGTCGGCGTAACGCTTGTAGAGCAAAATCCTCGCGCGAAGGCCGTTGACACCCCAAACACCGCCTACCTCCAGAGTCCGACCGATCCTAAGAAGGCGATGACCCATGGTTTCTTCGTAATCAACATATCGACGGACGGATTCGAGGTCCGCCTCAGTGGGGACGTTGTCTGGCTCGGCCACCCCAATGACCTGCATGACCTCATTGTGAGCTCTGATCATGTCGCGGTTCATTCGCTTTGTGCTGCTGTTGTGTGGGCGTCCACGGTTGTCATATTGCTGAGCAGGTTCGCCGGATTCATCTTCAGCGTCTACCTCGCCCTCGACAAGGTCATCGAACGGCGATCGGCCCTAGTCTGCATTAGAGTTGAAGACGGGTATTGGAAGGGGAGGGGGGGGCGCTGACCAAAGCTTGCGCTGTCAAAGGTCCGAGCCGTGTCATCCTGACAGCGCAGTCAATACTGCAGTGGCAGAGACGCGATCGCAAGCTCAGGTGCCACTCCTGTTGAAGGGACAATTGATTGGCGATGGGTTAGTGTTGTAAACGCAAACGACTGTGATCACAAGCAAGTCCGCTGTGACGTCCTGGTGCGGATCTTGGGTCGCGCAGATAAGATAAGAAGAGTTATCGATAAGTAACTTGCAGCCCGCCTGAGAAAAATTTCCAGGTAAAGCACTCCCGCTACAGGCCGAGAAAGCGTTGGTCTGTATTGTTTCGCGACATCTTGCATACCGGCGCAATGGCAAACCGACAGCCTTACAAGACGACATTTAATGCCGACAAGGTCATACGGCCTATTTTCACTGGCGGCTCAGTTGCATTGGACAATGGCGCCCGAGTGCTGGCCACAGCTCTGGGCGAGGACGCGGTCCTAACTGACCCCTCCAACGGCAGGCATCTTGCGCAGATTGAAGGAGTATGTCGTCGCCCTGCCAGCTGTTGCAAATCTTTTCTAACGATCTATAATAGGATGGCGAGCAAATATCGACATTGACCTGTACGTCACTTGCCTTCTGGTGCGGTTGACGCCCGCTAATTGAAATAACAGTGACCCCGAATGCGTCGCACCTCATCATCTGCTCTCGATCGCTCTCCATGAAGATTTACGCCCTGAAGTCCGCCGAAGACGACTCGATCACACCGACTCTCGTCCGATCTCTGAAGCCTCATGGCACCCCCGTCGTTGTGCTGGCTGTCGACCGAACAAGCACCCTGCTTGCGACTGGCGGCACTGACGGCGCCATCAAGGTCTGGGACATTGCTGGAGGATATGTCACTCACACATTCCGTGGGCCAAGTGTCCTCGTCTCTGCTCTGAAGTTCTTCGAAGTAGCGGCACGGGCCAAAGAGACCGACACCGTGAAGAAGAGCAAGAAGGCCCGCCAGGGCGATGAGGAAGAGGAGGAGGAAGTGAAAGTTGGCACAACGCAATTCCGCCTGATCTCGGGTAGCCAAGACGGAAAAGTCCGGGTCTGGGACCTTCACAAGCGTAAGACGATCGCAAGCCTAGACTCCCATGTCTCGGATGTGCAGGGTCTCGATTATTCGCCAGAACAGGATGCCATCGTTACAGGATCCAGGGACAAGACCATTATCTGGTGGGATGCGAGATCCTGGAAGATTAGAAAGGTCGTTCCTTGTCTGGAACTCATCGAAGCAGTTGGTTTCGTTGATGAGGGCAACCTCACATACTCGGCCGGCTCCAATGGCTGCTTGAGGATTTGGGATACCGACACAGGCCGCGAAGTGACCAAGGACCAGCCTGCTAAGGCCGAGACGGAGGGCATCACTGCTGCAATCTACCGACCAGAGCTGCCATTCATTCTCTGCGTGCAAATTGATCACACCTTGGCACTTTACCAATCGCCTACCAAGGCTTCGACGACGGATGCTGCGCCGGAACCTTTCAGACGGATCTCAGGAACGCACGATGAGATCATTGACCTCACCTACCTGTTGCCAGATCATTCTATCATGGCACTTGGCACCAACGCCGAGGAGGTTCGCCTAGTATCAGTTGCTGGGTCAGAGTCGAGCATAGACGCGCATGACTGGAAAGCACAGGGATCGCGATACTTCGGACAAGATGTTGGTCTGCTGAAGGGTCACGACGATATTGTCCTGACAATGGACGTCGACTGGTCTGGCCACTGGATCGCGACTGGTGCAAAGGACAATTCTGCTCGACTCTGGCGTGTTGACCGAGCCAACAATTCCTTCACATGCTACGCCACCTTCACTGGCCACGCCCAGTCCGTTGGTGCCGTCGGTCTGCCGAAGACCGTCCCCGCCGAGTCATCTGCGCAGTTCAAGGATCCGCTCAGCCACCCGCCACCTTTCCTCCTGACCGGCTCCCAGGATATGACGATCAAAAAGTGGGAGATCCCTCGTCAGCCTCAGACCAAGAAGGGTGGATCGCGGGCCTTGTTCACGAGGAAAGCGCACGAGAAGGACATCAACGCCATTGATGTGCACCCCAATGGTCACTTGTTCGCTACAGCATCACAAGACAAGACGGTCAAGATTTGGTCGGTGAAGGAGGGCGAAGTCCAAGGCATTCTCAAGGGCCATCGCCGAGGTGTCTGGTCTGTCAAATTTGCGCCTGAACACACGCCCACCATTCAGGGTGACGAGGGCCCGGTGGCCGGCAAGGGCGTCATTCTCACAGGCAGCGGTGACAAGACGGCCAAGCTGTGGAGTCTGTCGAGCTACACCTGCGTCAGGACGTTTGAAGGCCACTCCAACAGTATTCTGAAGGTGGCGTGGCTCAACGTGCCCAAGCCTGAGGAGAAGAAGCGCAAGCAGATACTCTTCGCGACTGCAGCCGGTGATGGCCTTGTCAAGGTGTGGGATGCTCAGTCGGGAGAGACGGAGTGTACGCTGGACAATCACATCGACAGGGTATGGGCTCTGGCGGTACACCCGGAGACCAACGCCATCGTCTCTGGCAGTGGTGACTCGACAGTCTGTTTCTGGAAAGACACGAGCTCTGAGACGCAGGAGGAGGCCACCAAGGCCGCACTGCAACTCATTGAGCAGGAGCAGGAGCTTGAGAACCACATCCATGCCGGCTCCTACCGAGAGGCCATCATCCTGGCGCTTCAGCTCAACCATCCCGGCCGACTGCTCAGCCTGTTCACATCTGTCGTAACATCAAACAAGCCGGACGCGGACAGCCTGTGCGGCTCCAAGGCTGTAGACCAGGTGCTGGCGACGCTTTCCGACGATCAGATCTTCCTGCTCCTGTTGAGGCTGCGCGACTGGAATACCAACGCCAGGACGGCACCCGTCGCGCAAAGGATCTTGTTGACGCTGGTGAAGAGCTACCCGGCATCGAAGCTCTCCAACCTGTCTGTCAAGGGTGCGCGCGGCCAGAGGAGTCTAAAGGAGGTCCTGAATGCGCTCAAGGTATACACCGAGAGGCATTATAAGAGGATGGATGAGCTTGTGGACGAAAGTTATTTGGTGGAATATACCCTGCAGGAGATGGACAACCTAGCCCCTGCTCTGGATGATCTGGTTTTGCGCGAGGTGGGTGACGAGAAGGATGTCGTCATGGCGTAGTGGTGTACAAGTAGATGAATAGAACGCGCCTCTCACAAGGAGGCTCTTGGAATTTGATCCTGTGTGTGACATGGCCATTGTGTGTGTCCAGTGGTTTTCTGCGTCCGGTCTCAGACTGTCGAATGCAATCTTTGGCATGCTGTGACGGCCGGGCCGGCAAGAAGCGAGAGCGCATTCGTCTTCGTCGAGCTACGGGCGTGTTGACAAGGAGAAGTGGGGTCTCCGTAGTGTAATCAACCCCCAAAGTTTCTGTCACCACTCACCACCTAGTTGAGCCTTGCGACCGTGCGACGTCTGTCACAACAACTCCAGCAAACAGCACAGCGCATGTCCTCCTGCCTCTCCACAGTAACGACGAGATCACCGCGCAGTATGGAACAAGCTCGCCGCAAGCGACAGGCACTCGATGCCCTCGATGAGGTTGCAGGAGTCGACTCGCCAAGGTCGAAGAGGTCGAGGACTGGCGACGCGACCATGTCGGAGGGGTCACCACCACCACACGGATTGAACGGCGATGCAACCGACAAGGCTGAGGCAAACGGCGGGGAAAGCGTGGAAGAAGAGGACGAGGACGACGACTTTGAGGAACACACACCTGCGGCCCCGATCCGACAATCCGCGCCGACGAGCGGCTACGATGACCTCTACCTCGACACAATAGATCGCAACGTGCTGGACTTTGACTTTGAAAAGTTATGCTCAATCAGCTTATCCAACATCAACGTCTACGCCTGTCTCGTGTGTGGTCGATATTTCCAGGGTCGTGGTCCCAAATCCCACGCTTACTTCCACGCCCTAGACGAAGATCACCACGTCTACATCAACATGCAGACGCAAAATGTCTACGTCCTGCCTGAGGGCTACGAAGTCAAGAGCAAGTCTCTCGACGACATCAAGTATGTCTCGGATCCGCGATATACGAAGCAGGAGGTCATGGAACTCGATCGTAGAGCCCAGCCGGCGTGGACGCTGGCGGGCAAGGAGTACGCCCCGGGCTTTGTGGGTATGAACAACCTCAAGGAAAACGACTACCTCAACGTCATCCTGCAGGCGCTGTCGCACGTCGTACCATTACGCAACTACTTTCTCCTCGAGGACTTCAGCTCGCGCTCCGAGCTCGCCAAGCGTACGAGTATTCTCGTGCGCAAGATCTGGAACCCGCGCGCCTTCAAAGCGCACGTATCCCCGCACGAGCTCCTTCAACAGATCGCCCTCGACTCCAACAAACGCTTCACGCTGACCAACCAGTCTGACCCCATCGAGTTCCTCTCGTGGTTCCTCAACAACCTTCACCTCGGCCTCGGTGGCTCCAAGACGAAGCCCGGCTCGTCCATGATCCACCGCATCTTCCAGGGCAAGCTCAAGGTCGAGTCACAAGCCATCACGGCGCGCGCCGACGCCGGCGACCGGCTCCGCTTCGAGGACGCCGCCGACGTTCACGTTGCCGTCTCCCGCTTCCTCCTCCTCACCCTCGACCTCCCCGCGGCGCCGCTCTTCCAGGACGAGAACAACCGCAACATCATCCCGCAGGTGCCCCTGACGACGATCCTCGCCAAGTACGACGGCCGCCACGCCCAGGAGCACCTCGCCCAGCGCAAGCGCTACCGCCTCCTCCACCCGCTGCCCCCCTATCTCGTCATGCACGTCAAGCGCTTCAGCCAGAACAAGTTTGTCTCGGAGCGCAACCCCACCATTGTCACCTTTGACGCGCGCAACCTCGACATGGCGCCGTACGTCGAGCCCAACCCGGCCGAGCACCCGCCCGGCGAGCCCATTTGGTACGACCTCGTCGCCAACGTCGTCCACGAGGCCGTGCGCGCGCGGCGGGAGGACGTCGCCGACGCCGTCGGCGAGGAGCGCAAGACGTGGAAGGTCCAGCTCAAGGACAAGGGCCGCGACGAGTGGGTCGTATGCCAGGACCTGTTTGTCGACAAGGTGCAGAGCGAGCTGCTCTACCTTGGTGAGACGTACCTCCAGGTTTGGGAGCGGAGGAGGACGCCAAAGGGCAAGGGCAGGGCCTAAGCCCGGAGGCGTATGTACTAGAAGGTCGCATGCCATTACAGTGGTCTTATGAGATGGTTGACGCACGGGCGACTTGATACCATGTTAATTAGGTGGATGTAAAATCGGAGAACTGACAACCAGCGGTGTTTCGTTGCGTGACTGAAGAGACCGGAATATGACATGTTGTCCTCCAACATGTGCGTGATGTAAAATATGGCTTCGTGGTAGGCAATTGGCCCTCAATCGTCAATAATCAGGCAACGAGCTTCATACGGCCATCGGACGAAATGCCAAATCCGGTATATAGGCATCACCCGAGAGTGTCGTGAGCGTCTGCCATGTCATATTCACGGTGGTTGGACGTTGTCGAAAATGTGTGAAGGACCAATTTACTCGATTGCCGCGCAAACAATGTCCGGCGGAAACAGTTGAATTCATGGGTACATCAATGCACGTCGTTCCATCTCAAGCTTCAAACCTCAGCCTCAAGGGCTTACAAGGCATCGCTCCTCGCGCTCGAGTCGGCTGGGCATCCTCATAGGTATGGTACACCGAGTCTCAACAAATCAACCAAAGCTAACCCCCCTAAATATGCCCGAGACACAATACGTCAAGTCAATCCTCCGTCGTCGCTAGGCCCTCCCTTCCGCCTCATTCATAAGCCCATAAGAAGTCCCTAGTGGTAAAAGCTGCAGCCCGGTCGACGAAAGCTAATGGTAAAGGTGTTGTACAGGGGTGGTGAGAGATTCGGAAATTGTGTGGTCGCATGCGAGAAATTCATGGTATTCGCCGTCGAACAACGACTCGAAAGCGTTGTGGGAGAGAGCGGCCTTGTTGGCGAGGTAAGCGCGCTCCGGAAGTGCCTAACTAGATTGCTTCTGCTCATCGCCGGGGGCCTGCTTGCGCTTGTCCTGGTGCTTCTCGCGGCGGGACTCCTCGATCGCGGCTCGGTGCTGGATGCTCTCGTCGTGAGACTTGAACTCGAAGATTGTGTTGGGCGGGCACTGGAGGTAGTTCTTCCAGGTTTCACTGTGACCGGAAGCGTTAGCGTCATGGGAGGTGGAGCGGGCACGAGCAACATATGAACATACCGAATCTTCAGCACGCGGCCGCCAGTCGAACGAGTCCAAATGCTGATAACATCCTCACCGTTGCGGATGCTGACAACGCCACCACAGATCTCCTCGCCGACATCCTGGAAGGCCTCACCCAGGAGCGCAAAGCGCGTGTCCTCCCAGTATCGGTCGGCAATGCCCTTCTTCAGACGCAGGACCCATTTACCGCCGCTGCGGTTGATCTCGTCCTCCCAGATAGGCCTGATGCCTCTCTTGAAGAAGTGGTACTCCCATCCCACAGGCAACTCCGAGGGGTGCTTGAGGTGGCGGAAGCCGACGACAAACTCCTCGATGGACTTGCAGTGCACCATGGCAGTCAGGGACTTGGCGTACTCCTCGTACGGCTGACCCTTGGGCTGACACGGCCGGCACCAGGTAACCCACTCATATTTCAGAGGGTGCACCTTGAGGCCGGCCTGTGGGCGGGCGACCTCAGACGACCCACGGGCGGAGCTGGTCTGAGAGCCCTGGCCGGTCCGGAAGTTGGCGGACGACCCGGTCTCGGCGATAGAGGCCATCGAGGGGGCCTTGCCGTCGGCACCGGGGGTCTTGGACGCAGGTGCCTTGCCCATGGCAAGCTCGAAAGGGTTGCCAGGGGTCTTGGGGGTTTTCGCAGAACCGAAGGACGCAAAAGCCCCAGAGCCTAGACCGAAGGCATTGGAAGCTCCCGTGGTGGGGGAAGCTAAAGAGGAGCCGCCGGGCGTCGTAGCGGCCGTCGCACTGAAGGGATCATTTTTGCCTTGGGAGGAGGTGGCGCCGCCGAATCTCTTGGAGAAGGAGCCGGAGCCATTGCGGGCGGAATCGCCGCCCGTTGACGTCGAATTGCCATGGCTGGGAGTCGAGAGGGAAAGCTTGCCTGAGCTGTGGCATGTGGTTAGGCATGGGTCTTGGGAGAACGGAGAGCGATGCAAATGGGTCGCGGCAAGTTGGTGGTGAGGAAGAAGCAACGTGACTTACTTAGTGCGGCGAGTCCATAGGTTGTTATCCATGAGGACTGTCTTGCACTTTCTCTCTTGTTAGAAATTCCCTGGCTGCGACGACGGCTCCTTCTCGATTGTGAAGGACGGCTCCTTTTGCGTGACGAAGCGATCGACAATGTTCAAAGTGGCTGGTTGGAAGAGAGAGGGGAGGTGTGCGCGTGGAGGTCGGGGAGGCGAGATGACGATTCAAGGTGTGTTGATCGGGTTTCTGAGGATGGTGGTGGTGGTGGTGGTGGCAGGCCTGGAGTTGGGTCGAATGGGCTGCACGGTGTGGGTGGGATCGAACAAGATGGATCTGGATCGCTGAGCGCAGGCGGCGACGTTGTCTGGTTTGGCGAGGTGAGGGCGAGGTGGGCGACTGGGTGATAGCGGGTTGCGGTTGGACTTGGGATTAGGTATGGCGAGGATTTCTTTGGTTAGAGGAGAGTATGCACAAAGGTGTAAGGTCGGACAGAGGCAGGTACGAGCGAGTTGCTTCGAGGTTCGGGTTCACTTCCAGTTGTCAAAGCAAAGAAACTTCCTCCAGTGCTTGACGAAAAACGCACGAGCACCGGGGGTGCTCGGATAAAGTCATAGTACAGCGCGAAGAATGATCCCTTTGGTCACTAGCTTGGGCAAGTTTCCACCCGAGCTACGGGGCATCATTATAGGGCGTTTGCAGTCCGCCCAGAAGGGGAGGGGGGAGAGGGGGGACATGGCATGGCTATCAGGTAGGTAGGCAGCTGAGCAAAGAATGGCAACCGCTACAGTCTGACGATGACTTCACAATCGTTTTCTCTACCCTTCTGGTTCCTTGCCTTGTGACCTTTTCTTGTTATAATAAAAGGCTTCATGTCATCTCATTGCCTGCAATATCAGTGAGCAGATGGTACTGCTGCCTTGCTCGACACCAACACTACGACTTGATGATATGCAGGACACTAAAATGTGTGTAGGTAGGTGGTGGGTTCATCCTCGAGGCGAAAAACCTATTGTCATCCGACTGGCCTTGAACACTAATGAGAATGAGGGACCTGATCGTGCGACCCTCGCCCTCACCCCCGCTTAACCCCCTTCATGCCCCTTTACATACGAAGCCCCGATACTGGCGAGGTTTTGGACCCACGTGGTTTGGAAGCCGCGACCATCTGTGCCAGCCCACTCTGGCTGCTCGCAGTCTTCCTGCTTACCCGTCCTTCCCATTTTGGAGTTCGTCCAATGAAATGACCTCACTCACTGAACCCCGCCTACGGCTGGCATTCACCCTGGCTCCTGGCTGCTTGCTTCAGTCTTTCTGACCTCATCCCACTCTGGCGACGCGCCCCAGTCGCGACTCCACCAGACATAGAAGGCGGTAAACAGCCTCCCAAATCACCAACTCAATTCAACACCAGCTGCGCCTCTCGTGCTCCCCCTCCCCACCCCCTTTGCGATGCAATCGGAGCGAACCTGATGCGCTGAGCAACCGTTTCGCCCATTGACCCTTCGAGCATGGAGAAATTCCTGCGGGAATGGCGCCAGGATGCCCTCAATAAGGCACAGTATGATTCCGCCATCTTCGTGGGCGACAAGCTGCTTGCCCTGACCAGTCAGTCAGCGCATACGATTGCACACTGGTCCCAGAGACGAAGCTAACACGGGCGCCACAAGATGACGATAAAGACGCATTCTGGTTGGCACAGGTTCATTTTGCGACTGGCAATTACACACGTGCCCAAACGTTCCTCTCGAAACAAGACCTCGTCACCCGGAACACCTCCTGTCGCTACCTCGCTGCGCACTGTCTTATCAAGCAGTCCCGATACGACGAAGCGCTTGGTCTTCTCGGTGATCGAAACCCCGTGCATCTCATTGCGAATGCGAGCAACAAGCGGAAGGTGCAGCACACTGGCCTCCAGAGCAGGCATGCGGCTCTTGCTAAAGGCGGCCGTATGGCTCGCGACGAGGCGGCCGAAGAGGAGTCGGCGAATCGGAAATATGAGGCGGCCATGTGCTACCTGCGAGGCATCTGCTATGCCAAGCAGAATGCTTTCGACCGCGCCAAAGAGTGCTACAAGGATGCCGTCAAGATCGACGTGCAGTGCTTCGAAGCTTTTCAGCAACTTATGAGCAATTCTTTGCTGTCGCCGGACGAGGAGTGGCAGTTCCTGGAGACTCTCGATTTTGACGCCGTCAGTGTGCCAGGGGACGTCTCTGCCTCGCAGGAGGCTGCCGACTTTACGAAGATGCTGTACACAACAAGGCTCTCGAAGTACCGCGACCCCTCCAATTTCACGACAGCCTACGATTCATTATCGACACACTACCGCCTCGCCGACAACCCGGATCTTTTGCTGGCCAAGGCAGATCTTCTTTACACGCAATGTCGGTACAGGGAGGCTCTCGGTATCACTGATTCTGTGCTGCAAGACGACAAGTACAACTTTAGCCTGTATCCCCTGCACCTTGCGTGCTTGTTCGAGCTAAAGATGAAAAACGCTCTTTTCTTAGTGGCGCATGACCTGGCCGACCACCATCCCGAGGAGCCGTGCTCTTGGCTGGCTGTGGGCACGTATTATTTTGCTATTGACAAGATTGCCGAGGCTCGCAGATACTTCAGCAAGGCGAGCATGATGGATGCGCACTTTGGTCCAGCCTGGATTGGCTTCGCGCACACTTTTGCGGCTGAGGGCGAGCACGACCAAGCCATATCGGCCTACTCGACAGCCGCCAGGTTGTTCATGGGTACACATCTTCCGCAAGTGTTCCTCGGAATGCAACACCATGCGCTCAACAACATGACGCTGGCAGAGGAGTTCCTCAAGACTGCATACGGGCTCTGCAAGACAGATCCCCTCCTTCTGAATGAGATGGGCGTTGTCAAGTACCACCAAGACAAGCCAGAGGAGGCCGTTCGCTTCTTCCTTCGCGCGATACAGATCGCCGGCGAGATTGATGCCGACCCCAGCGCTTGGCTTTCTGCTCGCACGAATCTGGCCCATGCCTACCGTCGTCTCCGGAGGTGGAATGATGCGCTCCAGGAGTTCAACGAGGTCCTGCGTCTCGGCGGTAAAGACTCGGCGATACTGAGCGCCAAGGGACTGATCTACCTGGAGAACGGTCAGCCCGAGCGGGCCATCATCCCGCTCCACGAGGCGTTGGCGATCCACCCTCAAGACGGCATCGCAACAGAGTTGCTCAACAAGGCTCTTCAAGAGTCCATGTATATCGACGTTGCGGATAATGATGAGCTCGATGCGTTTGAAAATGACCTCGACATGGGCAAGGCGCATGCCAAGGAGAAACTGGCGCGACCCCGTAGGAAGGGTGATGCCAAGGGCAAAGGGAAAGCGGCGGGCCGGTCGAGGGGCCCTCTCATGGACGAGGATGAAAAGGGCGAAAGCATGATGGAGATGACTGACGACGACTGATTGGGATGCCCCGCGAGGCACGGTTTACATAATTGAGCGTTTGAAGTACTGGCGTAGGCGGTTCGGACACGGGCTCAGGACAGCATCTATAAGCTACGTTCAAGAATAGCTAGGTATGGGATGGTCATTGCTGGTGGCCTGGGCTGCTACAATCATTAAATCGTTCACACTTTTTGCACCAGAGCTGTGTTTCCTGTGGGAGACTGGGGTTGGAGATGCACCCTAGGCTTCTAGATCACGACGGTCATCTTCCTCGTCGGGGTCGATGTCTACGGACTTAGGATTATCATCGCCCACTAGCGAATGCTCATCCAGGGTGCCGTCTAAGTAGCTCCGATAGTCCTCATCTAAACTCAGATCACTAACGGGGGCGTCAGGGTGATCGGCCATGCTCTGTACTACGAGGCTCGATACAGGCTGCAGCCATCCTGCTCCTTAGCCCGCCGGGGTAACCGAGTATTAGGAGAGCTTATAATGTACATTCTCTTACTAGGGTGCTCAGGGCTACTTTTATTGTAGGAAGTGGTATACTTCAGGAATATGATATTGAGAGTCTACTGCTAGCGCTAGTTCCACGATGGTGTCTCTCGGGTCTCCTATTCTTACCCTAGATTCTAAGTATCGAAGATAGGTAGACTGAGCTAATATTATAAACATATTTAGATATCGTATGATACTTTTTCTACTATAAATAGAGCTCCTAAGGACATGAAAATCAGAGATTGAGAATACATCATGGGAAGGGTGGATATCTTATGTAGGGAGGTTGTAGTATAGATGGGTAACAGAAGGGTGAAGGACGAAGAGAAGAAGAGCCCATTTTCCTATCACCTCCTTCCCAGGTATAGTAGTACAAGCGCTCCTTCCCAAATCAGTCTCCAGTCAAGGCAGCAACTTCAATCAGGTCCACACCCCCTGGACGATGCTCGGCCGATGCCCTCACGGTGCCGCTTACTTCAGCCCCGACAAACCTCAGCGCCATCTACAATGGGCGCCACTCGCGCCAACCCGTCTGTATACCTGGACTGCCCGTATGCTTGATAAGAAAACTACACCCCCAGCTTCCCCAACAAGGCTGTGTAGCTCAGTGGTAGAGCACCCGGGGTTTCTTCCTCCTAAAACCCTTTCCGCTCCCGCAGACCTAGAACCGTACATGCCTTATCTTCTCCCCCCGGGAGGTCGGTGGTTCGATTCCACCCACAGCCAAGTCTCTCTTTTTTTCCTCCTTCCATGCTTCCTGTGGGCGTCGTGTGCTGACGTGGCCGATCTTGTGGTGGCTTCTGACATGGTCGAGCCATATGCGCCTTTTGGTGACGACGCCGGGCTTCAATTACATCAAACAAATGGAATTCTACTGGCCTGTATGGTAATTGGGGCAGTTGAGTACGTGTCTTTTGAGTAGTTAGAGGTTGAATAAATTATGTCTTCAAGAGGAATGTTTTGATACGCTATCGCTTTGATGATGAACGCAAGTACAACAACAAGTCCATATCAGCCTTGGCACCAGACAACTAGAATATTAATAAGAATACGTCTTTTCGCACTTCACATAGCTTGATCCGTTGTGAGAGAGAAAGGGGGGGGGTGGGGGTTAGAGAACTGCGATAACACATGTTTTGCGGCATACCCTAAACAAGTCTTAGGCTGGCAATCTGGAAATCGGGAGCCTATAGCCATTTCCTCGAGAAAGGGGCTGCAGTCAAGGCACAAACCTATCAGTACCTTATGTCGCATACCTCGGGTCGAAGTCATGATCACGACGTTCGACCAAGGCGCGAACAGGTGGACAGTTGTGAATACAGAATAGCTCATGATCATAAATTGTACGGAGAAGAAATGTACGGTCAAAAAAAGGTCCAGAATGTACAACGAAAAGCCCGCGCATGTAGTGACCGTCCCAGGCATTGGCGCTCCCCCTTCCCTGTTTTGAATGAAGACATCCCACGATCTAGCTGTTGTAGACAGCAATGTACTCTGCCTGCAGCGTGCCCCCAGAGATGGTGTTCGCAAGCGGCGTCTGGCTGCCGAAGTTGTTGTTAGGGAAGGCTCCGCCGATGGCCAGGTTCAGCAGGATAAAGTGCGGGTTGTGCACGCTCTGCGCCCACACATCGGCCGGCAGGTCGGTCGAGACGATCTGCCAGAAGAGAATGCCATCAACGAACCACCGCACAGCCTCGAGGGCCTGCGTACGGTCAACCTCGAGGGTGTAGGTGTGGTAGTTGCCCTGGCAGGGGCTGTTGGGGCACTGCCGGCTGCCGACGAGGCCGTCGGTCTCACGGCAGGGGCCGCCGGGGTTGGTGCCGCAGTGCATCACGCCCCAGACGCGGTCGATACCGTTTACGTTCTCCATAATATCAAACTCGCCAACGGACGGCCAGTTTCTGTCTGCTGTCAGCTCATGGCATAGGATGAAAGGTGGCGGCGCAAAGAGCAGGATAAAAAAACGTACTGGTAGTTGCCACGGTAGGCGCGGCCGAGGGTCCAGAAGGCAGGCCAATAGCCAATGCCGTTCGACCCGACGACGGGTAGGTTCAGGCTTGCCTGGATGCGCATACGACCACCAGGGCGCGCAACGAAGTCGGAACGCTGTGACTCGATGCGTGCCGACGTCCACTGCCCAGCACTGTTCTTCAGAGCCGTGATCTGCAGAGCGCCGTTACCGTTGAGCTTGAGGTTGGCGGGGCTGCTGGTGTAGGACTGGATCTCCCAGGTTCCCCACTGGGGAGGACCACCTGGGTACCCGGTGCCTGTGTCGATGATCCAGTTGGAGGGGTTGGGCAGGCTGTTGGCCGTGCCGACAAAGTCGTCGGACCAGGTGAGAGAGAATCCGGGAATCGAGGGCACGGCTGCGCGAACGGCGGGGAGAGCCAGAGCGGCGGCGAGCAAGTGGGCGAAAACCATGCTGTTCGGTTAGCTGTGGCTGCCGTGCGCTGTTGGAAGCACAAACTTACATGGCGGTAGTGACGAAGGTGCCTTTCTATACACAGAGTCGCAGCAAGAGGAGGCGTGCTGGATGCGAGGAGGAGAGGGCTGGTTCGCTGGGCTGTCTGCTGAGGGCTCAACATCAAGTCGCAATGAAGCACGACTCCGGATCGTACTTATAGTTCTCGATCACGGCCCTCCTTGTCGGCACTCAGTCGTCTTCATGATGCCGAACGCTCCTCTCCTGTGAAGGCATGACTCTAGCCCGAGGCCGAGGAGCCGCCCACGACACTCTGAGAGAATATGCGCCGGACGACAAGGGGGTAGGAAAGTCGAGATCACGCCGCGAGACCCATCGGCCCGCCGAAAAGTTGACACTGGTCATCTAGACGGAGGGGCAGAAAAGGCCCTTCTCCAGGATGCGACCCTATCACCAAGCTTGGCGCCAGCAGATTGATGTCAGGGGCTGTCAGTAAAGCCGCGGGACCTGGCATCTCATGATGGGCAAGGTAGGATCGCGTCTGTTCAGTAAAGTGACGAGCCAATGGTCGCGTGACTAAGGCGCGAAGAAAAGGTCGACACCCCGGGCGGCAAAACGGGAGTGCGTCCTGATCGGAGCTAGGCTGGCTGCCAGATCGTGGGGACTCCAGGATCCAGGGCGTTCTGCTGATCGATCTTGAGTCGCAGGTGTGCGGTGTATGGTACGATCAGACGGTGAGCGGATGGACCCATGTCCACGAACACGGTTTACTGAAAATTCGACTCGGGACGCAGTGGTCGTCACTTCGCAGCGTTGATCGGTTTTGCACCTTGGAGTCGCGCCTTACGGGGACACAGCCATGCCGTGGGCAGACAGAGCAGACAGATCCGATCCGATCCAGGCCGGCGTCTATGCCGGCACTGGTGGCTGCTCGAGGCTTGCAGAGGCGGTCGGAGTAGAAGCTTATTCGCGTGCCTGACTACCAGTGCTCTTCCCCAGGTCCCGCGGGCGCGGGGTTCACGTGAAGCATTCTCGACAGCCGACACTTGGCCAGAAGGGGCAGCAATGCCGACCTGGGCTTCGGCGCTTCGCCGGCGAGGTTGTCTATCCCATGCATCAACCTGATGTGAAGGGGTGCCTGACTTCTTTACTCGATCATTTGCAAATGCAAGTTCATGAACAACGGTGTAGACGAGCGGTTTTGAAAAAAAGGAAAAAAAGGAAAGCATGTGAAGGGAGAACGGCGCTTCGAGCGGAAGAAGAGTTCCGCAAAGTCGAAAGCATGGCAGAAGACTCTGGTGTGCGCTCTTGATGCCCGC